CTATCCCCAAAGCTGTTCTGCATAGGCCTCAACTCCCTTAATCAAGAAGAATGTATGCGGATACAGGTTCAAGAGTGGAGCTACCATCAGCCACCTACTCTACATGGATGACATCAAGCTTTATACCAAGAATGAGTGGGACGTTGCCTCACTGATCCACTTAACCAGGACATCCAAATGTCGTTCTGATTAGAGAAGTGTGGGTGGATGATAGCAAAAAGAGGAAAAATGATCAGGACAGAAGGAGTTCAAGTATCAGAAGGCGAAATCAAAGATGATGAGAACAGCTACAAGTACCTGGGAGTACCACAAACACATGGTGACCATGAGGAAAAGGCTAGGAGGATAGCAACATCCAAGTACCTCCAGAGAGTCAGAAAGGTCCCGAAGTCCCAGCTCAATGGCAAGAACAAGATACAAATCTTCAATATATATCCCCTACCAGTCATCAAATACCCAGCTGGAATAATAACCTGGCCAAGAGAAGAAGTGATCACCTTAGATGTCAAGACCTGGAAACTACTCACTATGAATAGAGGATCCCACACAAAATCGAGCACCAAGAGACTGTACACCAGCTAGAGGGAAGGAGGTCGGGACTGATGAGTGTCAAGGCCACAGTCCTGGATGAGACAGAGCATCTACAAGTGCATTGCGAAGATGGCTCCCAAAGATGAACTGCTAAAAGAATGCCTGAGACAACAACAGGTAGAGGATGCAGAAAAAGAGAAGGCTCTATGACAAGACAAACCTATCCATAGTGGATGTGGCTCACATGACAAAATCCTACCAGTGGCTGGAAAAGGCACTGAAAGACAGCACTGAGGCATTAAACCTATCAGCACAGGAATCGGGGCAGATCCAGAACCCAATCTCGGGAGGGGCACATGGTTATATATAGAAACAAACCAGTCACAATAACCACTACAGCTCCCTGGTTATGGTGCCAGGAGTGCCGTAGCACCCTCAAAAAGTTAGTAGTCAAATCATTTAAGAACAGTTTGACAACTTACCTGGGGTCTGCTGGGGTAGGGGATAGGGCCTGTAGTAGGGGACTGGGACAGTAGTGTGTGTTTGTATGTGGTGCAATGTGTGAGGGGTGAAGTGTGTGTGTGTGTGTGAGGGTTGCAGTGTTTGTGTGTATGAGGGGTGTAGTGCATGAGAGGTATACAGTCTGTGTGTGTGTATGAGTGGTGTAGTGTGTGAGGGATAAAGTGTGTGTGTCTATGAGTGGTATAGTATGTGCAGTGTATGTGTGTTTGAGGGGTCAGTGTGTGTGCATTTGGGGCAGTGTGTACCTGAGGGGTGCAGAGTGTCTGTGGAGTGTAGTGAGTGTATGCAGTGTGTGTGAGGGATGCAGTGTGTAAGGGGTACAGTATGTGAGGTTTGCAGTAAATGTATATGTGGAACAGTGTGTGTGTATGAGTGTTGTAGTGTGTGAGAGGTGCAGTGTATGTGTATTTGAGGGGTCAGTATGTGTGAGGGATGCAGTGTGTGTATGTTTGGGGCAGTGTGTGTGAGGGGCGCAGTGTGAGGAGTGCAGTGAGTGTATGGGGGTGCAGTGTGTGTAAGGGGTACAGTATGTGAGTTCAGTGTATGGGAGGGTTGCAGTGAGTGTGAGGGATACAGTGTGTGTGTGTGTGTATGAGGGTGTAGTGTGTGAGAGGGATACAGTGTGTGTGTGAGAGGTGTAGTGTATGTGTGTTTGAGGAGACAGTGTGTGTGCGAGGCGTGCAATGTGTGTGCGTTTGAGGGATCAGTGTGTGTATGTGTGGGGTAGTGTGTGTTTTTGAGGGGTGCAGTGTGTGCGTGTTTGAGAGGTCAGTGTGTGTATGTGAGAGGGGTGCAGTGAGTAGTATTGTGTGTTTGTGTGAGTGGGTATTGTGTTTTGGGAAGTGGGAGCAAATCAAATTTATTATTTTTTTATTTAAAAAATGGTTAACCTTTATATTCCTCCCTTCTTACCTTTGCTCAGGGAGGAGGGACATTACCTGCAATACCTTGTGGTCCTATGGTGAAGCCCTGGAGGTACGGTGGGAGTGAACTCTAGTCGGCAGCTCCTGAGGTTACCACAGCAATACTCTGATCTCACAATCTCCCCTCCAGTCCGTGAAGGTACACAGCAGGGCTGGCGCTTGGGTAATGCCAACCTTGCACGGGAGAGTTAGGGAGAACCGGGGGGGGGAGGGGATCGTTGTACTATTTTCTTGGGGGGGGGAGTCAAATGCCCTGTTGCCCGCCCCACCCATGGATCTGCCACTGATGGGAACAGGCACTCAACACCAGATCAATAGAGGTGGGAGTCTACCACACCAGGCAAGATCCAAGGTGCAGACTATGCAAATACGCCTGACACAGTCCAGCATAAAGTAGCCGGATGCAAGATGTTAGCAGGAGATGCATACATGGAGAGACAAAACCAAGTTGCTGGTATTGCGTACCAAAACATCTGCACGGAATATGGCCCAGATAGGAGATATTACAAATGGTAGTTGAGAATGACACTGCTAAGATCCTGTGGGATCTCAAGATCCAGACAGACAAGCATGTGCTGGCCAACCAACCTGACATTGTGGCGGTAGACAAGGAACGGAGACTGCAGTCGTGGTGGCAGTGACTATAACAACAAAAAGAATGAACATGAGAAGATAGACAAATACAAAGGACTGAAAGTAGAGCTTGAAAGGATGTGGAAAGTGAAGGCAGTAGTAGTCCCAATTGTGATAGGAGCACTCGAGGCTGTAACTCCCAAGTTGGGGGCTTCAACAGAGTCCATGTGGTACATCTGAGATCGCTGTTCAGAAGAGTGCAGTTCTAGGAACAGCTAAGATACTCTCAGATTTCAGATTTCAAAGCCTCCAGAAGAGGAATAAAATATACCACCCAGAAGGGGTGATAAACTCTATTTCATACACACACACACATATACATACACACACACACATATATATATATATATATATATATAAAGTCTGCTTATTCGTTTTTCTTTTCCCTCTCTCCCCCCTCACTCTGCTCTTCAAAAAGATATTTATGACCCTCTGCTAAGATGGTGTCTATTTTCTAACAAACCTGTGTCTTATCTACACTCATGTCGCTTTAACCCCTGTATCACAACTCAACTTTGAAGTCTATGTGTCGTCTTGCTCAGAAATGATTCAGACTTGAGAAAGGGAGGTTCTCCCGAAAGCTTGTCATTAAAAAATTCTGTTAGTCCAATAAAAAAAGTATTACAAGATACAAATTTTATCTGTTTTTTACATCTATCTATCTATCTATATATATATATATATATATATATATATATAACAAAAAAACGGTCCTTAATACTTGATACGTCTGCGGTAAATTTGAGCACTGGAAGCAAAATAAAACCGCTAACTTTGGCCAGCATTTGTGACTAAGTGGCTACTACAAAAGACTGGACATACCGCATTTTGAATACCATGGGTTGTCTACACTTGAAAATGGTATGCCATGATGGGGTTATTTCACATTCCTGGGCTACCATATGGTCTCAAAAGGCAACACAGGCCCAGCAAACTGAATCGGGCAAGCCCTATATTGACCCTGTAACTTTCCAAAACACCATAAAACCTGTACATTGGGGTTATTGTTATACTCGGGAGACATTGTTGAACACAAATAGGAGCGTTATAAATCAGTAAAATGTATTCCGACAATGAAACCACCAGTAAAAGTGTAGTTTTTGTGTAAAAAAAAAATGCAAAAAACAAAGAGAACCGCTAACCTTGGCCAGCGTTTGTGACTAAGTGTCCCATTTTTAATACCCTGGGTTGTCTACTTTTACAAATGTTATGCCATGATGGGGTTAATTTTCATTCTTGGGCTGCTATATGGTCTCAAAGGCAACATAGGCCCAGCAAACCAATCTGGCAAATTTCAATGTGAAAACATGGAAAAGGGGAAAGCCCTACATTAGACCCCTGTAAGTTTGTAAAAGCCCATAAAACCTGTACATTGGGGTCACTGTTGTACTCGTGAGATGTTGCTGAACACGTATTGGGGGTTTCTTTGTCAGTAACACATAACAGGAACTGAGAATCCATGCCTAAAGTACAATGTGAGAGAAATAAAAAAAATAAAAAACTACCCAAAGGTTTGACAAAAAACTGGTGGTAGAATTAGTGCATGGAAAGTGTTAAAATACCTCCATTTGAAATACCCTATGGTGCCTACTTTTCAAAAAATATATAGTCTGATGGACCTGGGTGGATGATGACCAGCTGAGAAAATTCCAAGTTCGAAAACTGGAATGTGCACCCTCCAAATAAGGTCTTTTAGCCCCCAGAGAAGCAGACACACCTATATATGGGGGTATCACTGTACTTGGGAGATGTTGCTGAACACATATTGAGGTATTCTTTGGCAGTAACCCTTAAAGTTCTCCTTACATGTATTCTTAAATTGCTATGTGTGTCAAAAAACAAACAAAAAAACAATTTTTTTTTTTTTAAATTGGCATAGATTGGTGGTAAAATGGTTGCATGAAAAGAGTCAAAATACCCCAAGTTTAATACCTTAGGTTGTCTTCTTTTAAAAAAATATATACATGTGTAGGGTTATTCAGGGATTCCTGACAGATATCAGTGTTACAATGTAACTTGCTTTAATTTTGAAAAAAAATGGTTTGGAAATAGCTACTTGTACTTATATACCTATAACCAGCGCCAGACTGGGGATACAAAGCAGCCCTGGAAAAAAATTTGTGCCAACCCCATAAGTCACTGTGCCATATATTGTCGCGTGTAATATGTAAGGCTATATCTTGCCAGGACAGATGATTGAGTAATATATATATATATATATATATATATATATATATACACACACACACACACACACACCAGTAGCTCCTGCACTCACGCACGGGCCTTGGTGCCCGGGTGATAGCAAGTCATGGCCATCCATATATAAATCCAACAAGTAGCTGCACTCACAGTAAATAAAAATTCAAAATTTATTGAAAATAAGTTAAAACATCCAAGATCAACATTTCAGTCCTTCAAGGACTTTCCTCAGGATCAAAGACATGAAAAAATCTCTTTGATCCTGAGGAAAGTCCTTGAAGGACTGAAACGTTGATCTTGGATGTTTTAACTTATTTTCAATAAATTTAGATTTTTTATTTACCGTGAATGCAGCTACTTGTTGGAGATATATATATATATATATATATATATATATATGTATTGCTTTTTCTAATATAAAATATTGGTCCTTTCAGGGTAAAACGTTTAATTATATAGTAAGCTACTCACATAATACTCACATGCAGACACAGGCAATTTCACTGACATTTCAATGACACACACAAGCTCATTGATACACAGCCTCATAGACAAACAATCTTACTGATATACATAAGCTCATTTACATAAAAACACAAGCTCACTCACTCACACGCATGCAAGCAAGCTCACTCACTAGCAGACGCAGACACACAGCTTAATGTGGTGGTACTGGTGTCTATAGCATGACCCTACAGGCTTTTCAACGTAAACACTGACTTTTCAGAGAAAAGGCAGTGTTTACATTGCTTCAAAGTGACACTGCTAGTGACAGTCACTCAGACTGTCACTAGAGGTGCTTCCTGTGTTAGTGCACCTACATTCAGGGCCTCCACACTCTGTAGGTGCTGAACGTTCCCCATAGAGATACACTGATTCAATGCATCTCTATGAGGAGATGCTGATTGGAGTGGTGTTTTGCAGCCAATCCTATGGCGAAGCATTGGATTGGCTGAGATCATCAAGCTTGATGATCTCAGCTATAGAGGCAGGGCCAGTCGAGGGGAGACCAGCACGCTGCGTGGGGAAAAATGGTAAGCAAAAACACTATTTTTAAACACACATTTACACCATGACAGACGCAGAAACACACATATACCATGACAGATACACACCCCATGACAGACACACACACACACCATGACAGACCATGACACAGACAGACACACACCATGACGGACATACAGACACACCATGATGGACAGACACACACACACACCCCATGATGGACAGACAGACACACACACACCCCATGACAGACAGACACACACCACATGACGGACAGAGACACACACACCCCATGACGGACAGACACACACACACCATGACGGACAGACACACACACACACCATGACGGACAGACAGACACCATGACACAGACAGACACACACACACCATACAGACAGACACCATGACACAGACAGACACACACCATACAGACAGACAAACACCATGACACAGACAGACACACACACCATACATACAGACACCATGACACAGACAGACACACACACACCATACAGACAGACAGACACCATGACACACACACCATACAGACACCATAACACAGACAGACACATTACTAATACCTGCCAGGGGGAGGTCTTCCGGGGGCCACTGGGGAGGTCTTCTGGGGGCCGCTGGGGGACTTTTACTGCTGGGGAGGTCTTCTGGCGGCCACTGGGGGACTTGTCCTGGCGGCCACTGGGGGAACTGCGCTGGCTCTGCTCTCCCACCCTCGTGCGCTGCTGAATGAGACCGGCACCGGAATATTCCGGCGCCGGTCTCATTCAGCTGCGCGCCGGAGAGCAGAGCCAGCGCAGCCCCCCAGCGGCCGCCAGAAGACCTCCCCAGCGGCCAACAGCAGACCCAGGTGTCTGCCCGGCCCCAGGTGCCGACGGCCCTTTAACCCCTTAAGGACACATGACATGTGTGACATGTCATGATTCCCTTTTATTCCAGAAGTTTGGTCCTTAAGGGGTTAAAGCTTGATGATCTCAGCTATAGAGGCAGGGCCAGTCGAGGGGAGACCAGCACGCTGCGTGGGGAAAAATGGTAAGCAAAAACACTATTTTTAAACACACATTTACACCATGACAGACGCAGAAACACACATATACCATGACAGATACACACCCCATGACAGACACACACACACACACCATGACAGACCATGACACAGACAGACACACACCATGACGGACAGACAGACACACACACACACCCCATGATGGACAGACAGACACACACACACCCCATGACAGACAGACACACACCACATGACGGACAGAGACACACACACACCCCATGACGGACAGACACACACACACCATGACGGACAGACACACACACACACACCATGACGGACAGACAGACACCATGACACAGACAGACACACACACACCATACAGACAGACACCATGACACAGACAGACACACACCATACAGACAGACAAACACCATGACACAGACAGACACACACACCATACATACAGACACCATGACACAGACAGACACACACACACCATACAGACAGACAGACACCATGACACACACACCATACAGACACCATAACACAGACAGACACATTACTAATACCTGCCAGGGGGAGGTCTTCCGGGGGCCACTGGGGAGGTCTTCTGGGGGCCGCTAGGGGACATTTACTGCTGGGGAGGTCTTCTGGCGGCCACTGGGGGACTTGTCCTGGCGGCCACTGGGGGAACTGCGCTGGCTCTGCTCTCCCACCCTCGTGCGCTGCTGAATGAGACCGGCACCGGAATATTCCGGCGCCGGTCTCATTCAGCTGCGCGCCGGAGAGCAGAGCCAGCGCAGCCCCCCAGCGGCCACCAGAAGACCTCCCCAGCGGCCGACAGCAGACCCAGGTGTCTGCCCGGACCCAGGTGCCGACGGCCCTTTAACCCCTTAAGGACACATGACATGTGTGACATGTCATGATTCCCTTTTATTCCAGAAGTTTGGTCCTTAAGGGGTTAAAGCTTGATGATCTCAGCTATAGAAGCAGGGCCAGTCGAGGGGAGACCAGCACGCTGCGTGGGGAAAAATGGTAAGCAAAAACACTATTTTTAAACACACATTTACACCATGACAGACGCAGAAACACACATATACCATGACAGATACACACCCCATGACAGACACACACACACACCATGACAGACCATGACACAGACAGACACACACCATGACGGACATACAGACACACCATGATGGACAGACACACACACACACCCCATGATGGACAGACAGACACACACACACCCCATGACAGACAGACACACACCACATGACGGACAGAGACACACACACCCCATGACGGACAGACACACACACACCATGACGGACAGACACACACACACACCATGACGGACAGACAGACACCATGACACAGACAGACACACACACACCATACAGACAGACACCATGACACAGACAGACACACACCATACAGACAGACAAACACCATGACACAGACAGACACACACACCATACATACAGACACCATGACACAGACAGACACACACACACCATACAGACAGACAGACACCATGACACACACACCATACAGACACCATAACACAGACAGACACATTACTAATACCTGCCAGGGGGAGGTCTTCCGGGGGCCACTGGGGAGGTCTTCTGGGGGCCGCTGGGGGACTTTTACTGCTGGGGAGGTCTTCTGGCGGCCACTGGGGGACTTGTCCTGGCGGCCACTGGGGGAACTGCGCTGGCTCTGCTCTCCCACCCTCGTGCGCTGCTGAATGAGACCGGCACCGGAATATTCCGGCGCCGGTCTCATTCAGCTGCGCGCCGGAGAGCAGAGCCAGCGCAGCCCCCCAGCGGCCGCCAGAAGACCTCCCCAGCGGCCGACAGCAGACCCAGGTGTCTGCCCGGCCCCAGGTGCCGACGGCCCACCGGGAAATTTCCCGGTATTCCGGTGGGCCAGTCCGGCCCTGCCTATAACTTTCCAAAAAAAGCTAAGAACATGTTAACATTGGGCATTTCTAAACTCAGGACAAAACTTCGAAACTATTTAGCATGGGTGTTTTTTGGTGGTTGTAGGTGCTTAACAGATTTTGGGGGTCAAATTTCAAAAAAAGTGTGTTTGTCAATTTTTTTCATCATATTTTATATTTTTTTTTTTTATAGTAAATTATATGATATGATGAAAATAATGGTATCTTTAGAAAGATACCATGGCGAGAAAAACGGTATATAATATGTGTGGGTACAATAAATGAGCAAGAGGAAATTTACAGCTAAACACAAACACCGCAGAAATGTAAAAAGAGCCCTGGTCCCTAACGGTAAGAAAATTGAAAAACGGTCTGGTCACTAAGGGGTAAAATAATTAAAAAGATCGACGTTTCAGTACGTATCTCGGGGACCTTCCTCAGGATAAAAAAATAAAACGCATTTACAATTATTTTTGGAATTGTGTGTGTGTGCGCATGTATATATATATATATATATATATATATATACACACACACACACACACATACATACATATATACACACACACACACACACACACACGTGCTTTATTTAGTTTTCAGTGGTTACAAAGTATGTTAACGTTTCAGTCCACGCAGACTTTTATGAAGAGATAGATAGAGAGATAGATAGAGAGATAGATAGAGAGATAGAGAGATAGATAGATAACAAAATCCAGCTTATTCGCTCATCCACTGAACTGCAAATTAAAATCTCACAGAATGTAATAGTTGGGTTTTTTTGGGAGGTTTTTTTTTTTTACACCTCACCTAGGGAAAAAAACCTATAGAGGTTTAGTTACAGTATATGATCATAAATCTGCTACAATGTCAATGTACCCTGTTATTGGCAGGTCCTACTCTAACAGCCTAATGCCTGCCCTTATGAGATGAATCCACTTACTTGGGAAATGCTTCCTCCTGGGACTTTCTACAGGTCAAGGCTAAATAGGGCCCTGGAATGAGGCACCAGTGACAGGGAGAGGTGCAAAACCAAGGAGTTGTGCCTAGACTCCCAAATATATAAATTAAACCAAGAGGGCTGAACTCACCTGAACATGCATACTTGCAAGGGTGCTGCTGGGGCTAATTCATACAACATTTATTTATTTATTAAATATTTTACCAGGGTGGATACACTGAGATTTCTCTTGTTTTCAAGTATATCCTAGGTCCACAAAATATTGCATTGTTACAATAGGATACAATATAACAAAATACAATATACACACACACACACACATATATATATATATATATATATATATATATATATATATATATATATATATATAT